CAATAGTAATATTTAAAATACGTGTTCACCTGCGTATTTTTGATAAAAACCCTGTTTTCTGATTGCCTATCAGAGAAACGCCCTCTAGTGGACATTTTTCGAACTTGAAAATAATTTCCAGCGATTTCTCTTGGTCGATTTGCTTATTAGAATTTTTTTTCCCAAAGTTATACAATAAGTAGTTTCTGAGATAGAGCCGGCGTCCATTCTTAGTTGGCCACCCGGTACAATTTCGGGTTTGGGAGATATATTTTGCTCAAAACTAGTTCTGTGCATTTTTTTCGGGCATTACCCAAATTCGAGTATTGTGCGTAACATATACATTTAAAATTAATTAATTAGTGTATAGTAAAAAAAAACAACGCTTTATTGTACAAAAAGCCAAAACAGCTTCATCGACAAAGCAAAACAAAAAAAGCACAAAAACAAATATACAAATAATGAAAAAAAAAATGTCATACAATACAAATCAATTCAAAAAAAATTACGTCATAAAATTATAAATAAAACATATATGGACATTGCAGAACACAGGCGTATCTAGAAAATTTTACAAAAGGAAAACTGTAAATGGATAAAATCATGTTATAATAACATAAAATCAAGAGTTATAAAATATTAAATACTAGACCTTTAACCAGTGTGTGAGATGATCAAAATATTAAAATTAAAATTCTAAATTGTTCATGATTAAACATCAACAAAAAAGTCGTTTACCGCATATAGGGCTCTCTCCAGTAAGTATGATTTCAGAGCTTTGCGAAATGCGGGAAAGAATGAAAGTGACTTGATATTCGAAGGCAAATGATTGTACATTTTCTTGGCATTGTACAGTATTGAGCCCTTAACTAGTTCTGAGCTCGGGGTTGGCAGATAAATATCGTGCTCCGCATTCCTAAGTGGATAGTTGTGAGAAGGCCTTTCCGGAATAGAGAATATGTGCTTGCGGATTAAGCAAACGGATTCAAAAATGAATAAGGAAGGAAGAGTCAGTATTTTGAAATTTTTAAAGAAATTCTGGCAGTGAGTTCTACTGTTTAGTCCCAATAAGTATCGAACTGCTCTCTTTTGAAGTTTGAAAATACGATCAAATTTTGTCGCGCAGCAAGTACCCCAGAATGGAAGGGCATAACGAAGATGCGACTCAAAAAGGGCATAATAGACCATTCTAGAGGTTGATGAGTTAAGTTCCTTAGACACTGATCTTAGCGCAAAACAGGCAGAGCTTAGTTTCTTTGATAAGGCTTCGATGTGCAAGTCCCATTTTAACGAGTTGTCCACAACAAGTCCTAAGAACCTCACAGAGTCCACGACGTCAATAGTGGTGTTATTAAGTACAAAAGGTTGTATAGTACTTTTATATGACAAAACTTTAGTTTTTGAAAGGTTGAGGCATAGGAGATTAGAATCGCACCAAGTTTTAATGGTGCGTAAGTCACTGGATATAGTATCATATAGTGCCGTAACATATGGGCCGCTCCAAGTGAAACTAGTATCGTCCGCAAAGAGGCAGATTTTACCGCTAATGTCTAGATTTGCAATATCGTCGATAAACACCAGAAATAAAATTGGGCCAAGTACTGAACCCTGAGGGACACCACATTCTATAGGCTTACAAGAAGACATAGACGTATCAATCCTTACAAGCGGCCTTCTGTTGCCAAGATACGACTTAAGCCATTCGAGCGGCACTCCCCTGAATCCATAGTATTGCAATTTGTTAATTAAGATATTATGATTTACACAGTCGAAAGCCTTAGAGAAATCACAGAAAATTGTAGCTGTAGAGTGATGGTTATTCAGGCTAGAGTATACATTATTAAAAAGGTCGAACATAGCATCATTTGTGCAACTGTTACTTAGAAATCCAAATTGATGGGTAGAAAGTACTTTATATTTAAGGAGAAAAGATAGAAGCCTTTTTTTAACCAATCTTTCAATGATCTTAGATAATGTGGGCATATAAAGTATGGGGTAATAAAGTATTTGTATTATGGGCTTGTGTATTTTCTATGAAATGTATTTTTTCCCATTAAAATAATCATAGCTTACTAAATCACTAGCTAGCCATTTTTAAATACAGGGTGTTAATTAAGTACCTGGCCAAACTTCAGGAGGTGATTCTTTGAGTGTTTTTAAGGTAAAAAGTTCATATAAACATGTGTCCGGAATGCAGATTAACCGGGTAATATTGAGATTAACTTTATTTCGGATCTTAACCGTAACACATATATCTCAAATATGCCAATTTTGAACTTAATCATAGATAAAAGAAAATAATCTACTATTAAGATAGATATGAAACTTAATAGTAAAATTTTGGGTCAAAGCGCCCCTACGTGTTTTTAGTGGTGACTACGTTTAACCCAGCGCCTTCGCCTTTTCTGCTGTAAATGTTTTTTATGTTTATATTTGAATTGAAAGGATTTATTTTTAAAGTTACACTGATATATTAGTATATCTGAGTAACTTTAATAAAACATAAGAATATATATATTTTACAATTTATTTTTTTATTTATTTTACAGAGTTTCATGTAAATGATCGTAAGTCGACTGGCTGTCTAATGAATAGACCGAGATTTATAGATTTTAAAGCGAACGAAAAAAAAAATCAAATAACGAATACATACCATATATTTTTCTTTTATCTAAGATACATACCTTATCGTCTTTTGGAAACACGTACATTTTGCAGTTTTGTTAGTTTCTTTGCAAGATGCAACACAACAAAGAAAACACCATTTTTATAGTTAATAAATAATAAAACTTTTTCTGACTATGATATTTAAAATTTAGATAGATGGAAAATTAAAAAACAAACGAGTATTTGCAAACGCAGGCCCAAATTCAATAAAAATAAAAATTTTTCCTGCGAAAATCAGGCTTTTTTCACTGAAAAGGTATTTTTTGATTTATCAGCAGTCATTGTCAAGTTGACAATATACAGGGTGTTTTCGAATTAGTCTAAAAAAATTATGGTGTGATTCCTCATGTGTTCTTAAAACAATTTTTATATATAAATTGTACTGAAGCTGTGGTTGGTTCCTTGTGAAACATCGTTGAAATATTAGTATTTTAATAAAACACGCTTTTAGACGTATCAAAAAACTTTTAATAAGAGTAACTTTAACTCTACATATATGTTTCGGCTTGTTAGGCCTTTTTCAAGAGTTTTTTAAGAACTAATCGTCTAACTAACTACACTGTAACTATATATATATATATATATATATATATATATATATATATATATATATATATATATATATATATATATATATATATATATATATATATATATATATATATATATATATATATATATATATATATATATATATTTATATTTGCTATGGGGAATGGGTTCAGAGAGTTTACAATAGGGGTAATAAAAAATGTGTTTAGAAATCCTTGTTGGTCGTTAACATTATTTTCGTTTTTAACAGATTTTAGTATTTCTAACTGTTCAATGTAATTTAAGCGTCTACCTTTTGTTTCTCTGTGTAGTAACTTAATTGAGTTTTCATTAATTTTGTGATTATTTACTATACAATGAGTTGCAAGACCAGAACTATGCTGGAGATTATTAATAGACTTTACATGTTCTTTAATCCTTATATCTAAATTTCTACCTGTTTGGCCTATGTACACGGCATCACAATCATTGCAATCCACCCTATATACACCCGACTTATTTTTGACAGTAGTTTTGTCTTTATTATTTAATAAAATTTGACATAAATTTCTTTTATTTACGTTAATAGTTTTAATTCAATAAAATAGGATGTAAAACTATTAACGTAAATAAAAGAAATTTAGGTCAAATTTTATTAAATAATAAAGACAAAACTAATGTCAAAAATAAGTCGGGTGTATATAGGGTGGATTGCAATGATTGTGATGCCGTGTACATAGGTCAAACAGGTAGAAATTTAGATATAAGGATTAAAGAACATGTAAAGTATATTAATAATCTCCAGCATAGTTCTGGTCTTGCAACTCATTGTATAGTAAATAATCACAAAATTAATGAAAACTCAATTAAGTTACTACACAGAGAAACAAAAGGTAGACGCTTAAATATCCTTAATTTTATTTTATATTTTTATGATGGTTTTATATGGTACACTATTGCTTTTTTAAAGAAAATATATTTTTTTCTTGACTGGCCATTCTTTTTCAACAAAATTGAACTTTTGAGTTTTTCTTGTTCATCAAACGGTTATCGAGAAAAAAATAAACATACTTATTAAGAGCCCGCCTTAATTCGTTTTCTAACGATTTTTTATTTTTTAGATTAACTAGGAAACACCCTGTATATGCATATCACAGGCAACCAAATAAACTACTAACCTCTAAAAATATTTTTTCCTATCACTAGCGACATACCGTGTTTTTAGTGTGTACTAAATTATTTTATCAAAATTTCACCATATAAGTTTCCAGGCAATGAACTTAATATAGTTTGCTTCTAGGGTACAGATATGGTTTGTACCTATACTGTAGAAATGCATGCGTTTTTACTGTAGTCGCAAAAACGCGCAGTGTGCCACCGGGCTTAGTAGTTATTCTCAAATAAAAAAATGTATATAGGGTGAAACAATATTACACTCACAGGTCCCACTTTTTAGTATATTAATAGCATTTTTATATCAATACTGCCATATTCACAGAAAACTTAAATTTATGAAAATTTATAATGCAAGTTTTAATCATCAGCATCAAAGGATTAAAATTAACAGTAAAGTAAATTGTTTTTAAGTTTGGTGTATTGTGGTGAATGCATATTTTAGCGAGTATTTTAGTTTTAATGCTAAACACAAGCTAAATTACTTTGGTATCAAATTAGCTATTTTTTAAGTTTGAATTACAATAATTAATTATTAAGAAGAAAATAACCTATATAATCTTGTTCTGAATAAATATTGATTTGCTTATTAAATTAGGTTCATTTCAGTATTCATTTTAGTATTTTTACAACTATTGGATATGTTTCAGTACTCTTGGTCATCAAGGCACAACAAATAAAGTCGCGTATGCAGCTAGCAAAGCAGGTATTATTGGTATGACTCTACCTTTAGCCAGAGAATTATCTGAGCATGGTATAAGGGTAGTGGATATTGCACCAGGTAAATATTAGAAGTAACCTTCTAAGATCTTCCTCCCCCTTCTTCCTATTACTCTCTGAGAGTATGGTGACGTAATAAAATCGCATTAATTGTGCCGCTCTATGTTGTTGTATCTTGCGCAGTACTAGCCTCGTGCAGACTATGAACTATTATCATCTTCAGATCCAGGATATGTGGCCAAAATATTTAAAATATGATTGGTTTATTGATGATGATAGTCCAGATTCGATATTCAATTGTTCGAGAATTGAAATCTTTGTACGGTGAGCTGTGTACGGTATTCGCAGCATCCGTCTATAACACCATATTTGAAAGCATCGATTTTACGTCGTTGCCAATTTCAATGTCCAGGTCTCAGTTAGGGCAGTCAGTGATGCAGCTTTTCTTCAAAAGTGGTATGAACAGTGATTCGCACCATTTTAATGGCCATCTACCAGATTCCCATATGATAAAGCATAGTTTGTAGATGATCTCTGTACTTAGCTCTCCCATCGCCTTTATAATTTCGCCGTTAATATTATCAACACCAGGTGCTTTTGAGCTCTGTAATGAATCGATAGCCTTTTCTAATTCAGTCTTCATTATGACAGGTTCTTTTTCTAAGTGCGAGTGCATGCAAATTAGCTGGCTCGGGGTTTTTGTATCTCTGGTTACAATATTGTTTCCATACTTCAGCTACACCTTCTGGATCGTTTTTATTATTTTTTATTATCTGTGTTCGTGGTTTGAATTCCCGAGCAAGGTACCTAACCTTGTTTGTATACCTCATGCGTTTTATTATTGTTTGCATGGTCTTCCAACTCTTTTTATATTCTTCCTATGTGATCATTTGTGTCCTTTCTACATGACTTCTTATATCCTTATCTAGTTTAATTTTAATGGCCTTTTCCGGTTCAGATGTACCTGTTGTTATCATTAAAGCTCTACATTTTTCTTTGAGTGATATAGTATTTTCTGATATTCAGTGTGTATTTCTCTTGTATTTACTCTGTCCATTTTCTAATCCATTCTCTATCCATTTCCTTGCTCCACGCTATCTGGTGAGCCTAATTTTTGTAAGGTTTGTTGTAACAATGTGCCGTCTTGGGTCAGCCATTTTTTTTTGTTGACGGTTTTCTTGTTGTTTGTAATTTCACGGCCAACTCACATATTGGGACCGATTTTGCCCTTGTATTCGTAAATAATAACATACACAATCGAGATCTTGTTAGAACGTAGTCTGTTATAGAGTTTGTTCCGAGGTTTGTTTATTTTCACAAAGTGGTGGTCCATGGTAAAAAACATAATGTTAAAATCAAGAACAAAGTCCAAGCCACTGTTAAATAAATTCTTTATTAGTGACCGGTTTCGGCAATTCCAGCCATCGTCAACCCTTGTCAAATACAGTTGTTCGTTTGACTTTATCAGAACGTAGTCAATTTGATTTTTGTACTCTCCAGATGGCGACGTCCACGTTGAAAGGCGACAAGGGTGGTGTTTAAACATTGTATATATGATCTCTAGTCCATTTTCTGTGGTGAATTGAATCAGATTCTCTCCTCGAACGTCTCCTAGTCCACACTTCCTCAGTACGTTTCAAATGTGGTTCTCCTCCGTTGTTTTACCCACTTATTGCGTTAAAATAAAATATATCTACCATTTAATTCTCAATCTCTAACATGTTTAGGTATTTTTAACACATCCACCTTTAAACATTTGCAAGAGAAGTCCAACAATGGAAAATTTTTGGGCTTTCCCAAAAGAGCAGGGAAGCCAGCGGAATATGGCGATTTCGTTAAAGCAGTAATAGAAACACCGATGCTTAATGGATCTTCAGTTAGATTGGATGGTGCTGCGAAAATATAATATTCATTTAATGTGATACGTTTAAAAATGTTTATTATTATGGAATATATTACACTTATATTAAAGAAAGTATTTCAATTCTCTTTCACTGTTCGGTTTTTATATGATTCAAAATAAAAAATATATAAATTGTAAAATTAGTAATTTTTTAATGGCCATAATGCGTTCTTTCAAAATCATGGAACAACTAAATCATTTCCATAGATCCAGTGACGTACCGTGACTTTGAATTTTGAGACCAAAAACTGAAACAATAATTTGTCAAAAAAATCATATTACCGCTATATGTTTTACTTTGCATAAAAATGTTAACTAATAAGTTAGAATAATTATAATTCTTCCCTAACTAAGTGGTTTTATCGCTAAATTTAACTAAAGCTAAGTACACAAATCTTAAATACGTGGACTATTATAACAACAAATTCATCGTAAAATACTATTTTGGTAGCATTCTAATCTAGAATTCAAGTTAAACATTTTAGAAAATAATTTAAAGGAAAAATGTTAATTCAGTAAATATTAATTTTTGTATACTGCTCAGATTTATCTGGTCTTCTATTATATATTTTGGAAATTAGAGAATTATCTGAAGATTTTCATCTAAAAATTGGCATTGATAGTGGTGGTGGATAACTTAAAGTTTGTCTGAATGTGCTCCCTGAAAATGATCTCGAATATTTCAAGAAATATAAAAGTGCTGGAATTAATAAACTATTCATAATTGGCTTAGGACCAATGTTGTCTGAATCTTATGCTAACACTAAAAGCCTCTTTGAGACGTTAGATCTGCAGTCCATATGTGGAATTTGTTCCTATACTTTTGCCGCTGACTTTAAGCTTATTATGATTCTCCTAGGTGTTCAGTCAAATTCACCCACTCACACTTGCCCATGGTGTGATGTAAATGGAAAAGAAATGGAAATTAAAGGATCATTCAGAACTATAAAAAGTATTACAGAAAATACAAATTTATGGCAACAATCTGGAGGAAATATAACAAAAGCCAAAGATTTTAGTAAGCGTTTTTGTTTGAAATATTTGTTTTTGTATTTTTTAAACTGTTGTTCAATGAACCATATAAAAAAGGGCAATTATTTTTTAGAAAACTGTATAAACATACCTTTAATCATTGGCGACGAAGAAACACCTATCTTAAAGTATATTCCCCCTCCTGAGCTTCACCTTTTGTTAAGTGTGGTTCAAAAACTATTTGATTGTCTTGAATTGGAGAATACCAATGTTGCAACAGAATGGATAAAAAAAAGCGGGATTGAAACTAGATCATTATGGAAAATGTAACGGAAATAACGCCAGAGAACTTTTAAAGAAAGTGGATATTTTGAAGACGATATCGCCGTAAAGAATCCTATTCAAAGTCTTTAGAAGCAAAAACCTAAACATCTTTTTTTTTAGGAAATAAATATATTGCAGTGTTTTCTGCATTCAATCAGTTTCGAGTTGTATTGGTCAAGCACTAAACAAACATTTTGAACATGACATCGAACAATTTAGATTGGAAATACTCAACTTAGGTATTAAGATAACTCCAAAGATTCATGCAATTCTGCATCATGTGCCAGAGTTTATAAAAGCAAATCATAGAGGTCTAGGATTTTACTCGGAACAAGCATCTGCGAGCAGGTTCATTTTTCCTTTAAATTATTTTCTAAAAAGTTTAACTTGAATCCTCGTTCAGAAAGCTACTAAAATAGTCTTTTACGATGTATTTGTAGTTATAATAGTCCACGTATTTAAGATTTGTGTTGTACTTAGCTTTAGTTAAATTTAGGGATAAACCACTTAGTTAGGGAAAAAATATAATTATTCTAACTTATTAGTTAACATGTTTATGCAAAATAAAACATATTATAGCTGTAATATGATTTTTTTGACAAATTATTTTTCAGTTTTTGGTCTCAAAATTCAAAGTCACGGTACGTCACTGGATCTATAGAAATTATTTAGTTGTTCGATGATTGTGAAAGAACGCATTATGGCCATTAAAAAATTACTAATTTTACAATTTATATATTTTTTATTTTGAATCATATAAAAACCGAACAGTGCTTTGTAATAATATTCGACAGAGTGTAAATATCAAGTGTTCATTAAGAATATAAATATGTGATTGTTTATGTAAATTGTTGTAAGGAAATCAATAGAAAAATGACAAATAAAACATTCTATTGTTTTATTTAACTAATGTAACAAATTATAGCTGTTTATTTTAAATTATAAAATGGACAAGTCACAAAGTTTTACAATCAAATTTATAAAGAATTTTCAGTATATAATTTTTTAGTAACACAGTCGGGAAGACTGAAAAAAAAATGAAAAGACAGTGGGCAGTCCATCACCAAAGAACTCTTAAGAGGTTACCTTAAGAGGTTAGACCTTAAAACTAATACATCGACTAGATCTCAAATAAAATTAGAAGCAGAAGAAGATCTTTGTAGAAAAGAACATTTTTGGAAACGTGTTGGTTGTTCAACCGCTTTCTCAAAACCTTTAACTCTTTTAAACACATTATCCGATAATTAAGGAAAAGTCCACTTGGTAAAATATCTTACTGCGGGTTCATTCTGAGAGAGATACACCCTGTAGACATACCGTACCATCTGAAAGGAAATTATAGATGTATTGTGTCCATCTCCCTTTCCTGAGTTGATAGATACTGACTTTTTATACGGTCCTGACCAATAATTGAAAAAAACTACAAAGAACGGTTCGATAGTCGATAAAACAATGTTTTAGAATCTGGCTGGCAAATTCAAAATTCATTCAAAAGTTTAAAAAATACAAGAAGTTAAACTTAATGCAAACATTTGCACTTTACGCTTCGATTGATGCTCGATTTAGTTACACACTGTGGTTCAAATTATTATAATTTATAACATTTAAATCTTATACAATATAATGATATTTATATAATTTTAAGTGGCAAAAAAAGTAAATTATATTAAATGAATTCATCGGCATCCGCAAAAATGAAGAATGTAGTTTTCATTTTTTTCCACACTGTTTATCTTTTATTTTAAATTTTTAACAAACGTGGCCGAATGTGACGATAAAATTTATAGAATCACTTCTTTAACAGTTGCTTTTTTTAGTCAAATTAATCCGAGACCAAAGCTCGGTAAAGCTTTTTTGTTCTAATCTGATTAAAGTAAGAAGTAAAATAATTTTATTAGAAATAGATCCAAACTAAACTGCATCAAAGGCACGGTATATTTTGGCAAAGTGATTTTTACTTTTAATACCCATGGATAAACGAAACAGTTCCTGGGTAATACCGATTTTTAGGAATTAAAAGAAGGGCTGTAAAATATTACTTGTTTTCGCTTTATTTTTGCGCGTTTCGTGTATTAAGAAAATTGTCAAAAAGGAGGTGTTGTAAATTCAAAACTAGTAATTAAATTAAAAAAGTAATATTATTATATTATCTTTGAACCAACTCGATGTAAGATAGGATAATTTAAACCCGATTTAACACCCTCTTTTTTGTTTTTTTTTGCCATTGCCGACGCGACGTAGTGAGATAAGGTAGACAAAGAAAAAGACAAGGGTTCGTACAGGTAAACGCGTGGAAGAAAACAGGCTACCACATATAGTTCTCGACGGGAAACTCGTAGGTATAGGAGACAGCCGGGAAGACTTCCAAAAAAATGGAAAGACAGTTGCCCAGAAACACTACAGAGGCAACCTTAAGAGTCCATTTCACTAGTCTTAGAAAAAGTAGCCAAATAAGCGTTCGGCATTTAATGTTTTATGTAAAACAGGCTAGGTATTTTTACGCAAATGAAGAAGGAAATTAAAGATAAAGGATTATACTATATCCGTATTGTAGTACATTTTGAGACAACTTCTTTATTTTTAAGATTTTAATGGTCAAACATCAACAAAATATACCTTATGTTTGGACTAAATTTTCTCGAAAATAAAGACAATTTAAAATTCCGTTACGATACGGAAATAGATTGAAGTTTTGTGATTACAGTTATATATGGTTTTGTTTGGTTTTGTAACAAATTGCTTGCTAATTTATGGTAAATGCTGAAGCTCTGCAAGCCTTAATCAAGCTTTAATCAAAGCACGTGTGTTTGGAATTTTGGGTGTGGCTTAACACGACAGGATCGGGCGATCCTTAACACTTAGGCATGTTTCTGAAATATAATTTATATTTCCTTCGGCCCCATATCCGTTTTACCCGAGCCCTGAGAGCGACCCGAACAGTACAGCGTAATAGACTCTTAGAACTAACAGATCGACTAGATCTCAAATAAGTAAAAGAAGAGAAGAATTTTGTAGAAAAGAACATTTTTGGAAACGTGTTGGTTGTTCAACCGCTTTCTCAAAACCTTGTTCTTTTCTAAACACATCATCCCATCATTAAGGATAAGTCTACTTGGTAAAATAACTTACTACAGTTTCACTCTAAGAGAGGTGCACCCTGTACACGTACCGTACCGTCTGAAACGAAATTGGTACCATAATGTATAGCGTGATAAGTATAACACAACCTAAATAATTGGGTGTAATCGTACAAGTAGGTTCAAATCGTGTGAGAAAACAGAGACCTTCTTCAAACCGTCAAAGTGTAGCATCTTTCCTGGCCACAAGTATCTCACGCAAGCTAAAACCGAGCCGGCCGAGTGAAAATAATCACAAAAACAGTTAGTTATTATGAGCGCCTATCATGAAGAACATAAAGACAGCCACTCTAATATTATGGATTTATACAAAACTGTTTATGGGTCACTTGCTTTGTGGTGACCGGTTGTTCGTTTAGACGGTTCGCTATTGGCAACTAATCAATTATTTTGTAAAAAAGTCTAGGGAAGGCGAATATCAACAAAATTTGCAAGACCGCGAAAAGATGGCTTCAAAAATATGCCTGTGCCTGAATTTCGGTTTTTAGTAGGGTTGTTTATTTTAACATGTTAAATAATTATACCGTATGATCGAAAAAAGTAAGTCGCTAAAGACGGCTGGGGAATGACAATCGATGATAATTTTGGCGATGTCAATCTCTAAATATTTAAATAAAAGTTGTCAAAAATTAACACTAATTATAGAAAGACTAAAAAAGGATATAACGTTTCCAGACACACAAATCTATTTTCAAAAAATTGTTTTTTCTCGAATTTTAAACTTCACTATAAATAATTTTTACTCAATATGTGGTCCGAACTGTTATTCCCGAAACTTCGGCAGTATATTCTGCAGATAAAAATAAGTAAAAAAGTTCGTATAAATGTATGTCCAAAAATGCTTAGTTTCAGAGATACAGGGTGTAGAAGTTTCATTTTTATTTCGATTTTTCCTAAATCATTTCTGAAGTAACGTCAATATTTGGATGAAAATTGGTGTCTGGGATTTTTTGGACATGAGAAATTTGATTTTGATGTCAATATGACTCCTACTAGTAGAGGGTACTACCTACATGTGTTTTAACTGTTTTGAAGCGTAATAACTTTTTGTCCGTACCTGTATAAAACTACCGAGCGAAAAAATATACATCTCTGTAATTCTTTACGTAAAAAATATCTCTTTGTAAAAATCGCTACGAGCAACCGTTCTTAAGATATTTAGAATGGAAACTGTAAATACATGTCATTATTTACGAAAAATAAACACGTTGAGTAGATAGTTATTTCACTGAAATAATAAAATTGGGAAATTTTTATTTTTTTAAATTAATCATAATTTTTTCTGCAAAAAGTGATGATAAAATATTTTCTGTTGAACATTTGGCACAAAAACATTCCAAATTTATGATTTCAGTCTAATAACTATTTAGATTTAGTCAACATGTTTAATTTATGTCAATGATGACAGGTATTGATAGTTTTATTCCAAATATCTCGAAAACCATTACTCGTAGCTATTTTTACCAAGAGACCTTTTACACGTAAAAAATGTCATAAATGTATATTTTTTTACTCAGTAGTTTTATACAGGTACGGACGAAAAGTTATTACTCTTCAAACCAGTTAAAAAATATGTAGGTGACGCCCTCTACTTGCAGGAGTCATATTGACATCAAAATCAAATTTCTCATGTAAAGAAACTCCCAGACACCAATGTTCATCCTAATATTGACGTTACTTCAGAAATTATTTGAAAAAAATCAAAATAAAAATGAAACTTAAACTACACCCTGTATCTCTGAAACTAAGCATTTTTAGACATATATATATAAACATTTTTACTTATTTTTATCTGCAGAATATACTGCCAAAGTTTCCGGAATACAGTTCGGACCATCCTGTGTAAATAAATTACACAGGGTGGTCCGAACTGTATTCCGGAATAAGCTGAAATAATACTCTTGGATCTGGCCCTACTACAAACAGGTATTGTATAATATTATTTTGTAAACGTATTTATCATACATACCTTATTAAAACCGAATTCGATAAATTTTGTTCATAGAAATTTCCACATTTTCCTTGTTTGATAGTTACGTTTTTTTCTCGTTTCTCGTTTCTATTTTATTTACCATAAAGATGATTTCAAAGTTTCCTTTCTGAACTATATTCAATAATTATCTTTCATATCTCTCTTCCAATAATATGTATAGATTCACACGCAGCCCTATAACTTCTAAATATTATTTTTGTTTACAAAGTTTTAAACATTTTGTATTAAACTTATTAATAACAACTTACCTTTTATTTTCACCTATTAGATTACCTAGACTATTAATTCAAATAATATTGATTTGTCTAATATAAGTTAAATATTGTAGCTGTATCACTCAAAACGACAAGTGCTATAGTGATGGCGGACCTAATACAGTTCAGTCTCTATAGACAGTGGACGGCTTCATCGCGTGGTCTACTATTGCGTAATCAAGCACGTGATTTGATACA